AAAAGTTCTTTAGATTGAGTGAGTGGGGTTTGGATATCTGTATGCTGGGTGCAGGGGGAGCAAAAAATAGCTTCTTGCATTTTATTGCCAGCTTTGTTCCGGCATGTGGAATGAGAACCCAAAGCCACGGATGTGCTTGTTGCACGAGCTGAGAGAGATTCCTCTGCAGCATTAAAAAATACGTTGCTTTGTGAAGAGGAAACAGTGCTGTCGTGGTTTTGCATTACAATCAATCCATTGCTTAAATCAACACGTTGCAGATGCAAGCATTAGTTTCTGCATTATAGAGAAACTGTGTTTTTGGGGAGGAGGGGCAGAAAGAAGAGCACACAAAACCAGATATAATGGGGGAAACCCACCGAAAGAATCTCTCTATTCACACCTACCACCCTGAAGCTTCACAGTTGCATAACTTAATGCAGATATCCAAAATCGTTCTAGAAACAAGCTCCACTGACGCACAGCTTACTAAGGAATCTTCTGCATGGTTTTATAAGATTTTAAAGTCTTCAATCAAAGCAGCGGGAGGAAAAAGCCAGTAAGTCACAGCCTCACACTGCTGCTTAAATATGGGGAAGGGGCTCTGAAGGGGGGGTGCTTAACAACCTCTAGACCTGCTGTTAACTTTGTGGAGCCACTGGGGCAGGAGGCTCCAATTTAGCTGCATTGTTTTTCCTGATCTAAATACCCTACAGGCCCCCCCCCCCCACGTTGCTAATAGCCATTTGGGGAGGGATGCAAGTAGCTGTTTGATCCCTTTATTTCTTGCGCTTGCAGGTGGCGGGGAGGCTAGCAAAAGCTTTGGAGGATAAATTTAGAGTCGGAAATGGGGAGGAGGATAAACCAAACCATGTGAATGCTCACTCTCTCACACACAACCACACCCCTGTGCATCCAGTACCCATGCTTTCACCATCCTTATCCTGAAGTTTTATAATGCAGAGAGACTGAAAACCTAAATACAATATAAGCTGTTGTATGAACTGTTACTTTTCATTAGACACTATTGTTATTTTAATTCAGTGTTATTTACTTGAAATGATTTCAGCCTGCCCTGGGACCTTAGGATGAAAGGGGTGTGATAAATTAAAATAATCACCATATTTATAAGATTTCATTCTCTCTCCTCACAAACACATTTATTAGGGCCACGCTTGCAGAGCTCTGTGATTACCACTCTCTGGTTCAGACAGCAACTGTGGCAAACCCAGATCTGTGGCTGCTCTGGAACATCTGGGCCAAGGATGCAAAAATGTCAAATTCTGCTGCGTGTAAATTCCCTGTTTTTAAAGTGCTTTTAAAAATGCAGCCGTTGCCATTGCACCCTTTGTTCCTCTTCCGGGGCATTTAATAACCAGATTTTAATGGCATGCTATATTATTTTTTAAAAAAAATCCAGACGGATGAAGTGTGGGAGACCTTCACTTAGTGACTGAGGCACTAGTAACGATTTTATCAATCCCCCAGGTTTGATGAAGTCAGCCGTATATTCACAGTCCTGAAAGATACGAGTTCTGGGGGAAAGCCTGGGGTCTAAAGACTAATGCAGCTGTAATAGCAAAGAATTAGCTAAATGGATTCAGAACTGAATCCTCTTTATTGTGCCGGAAGCCTTGAAACTCATACAGCCAGCCATGGGCTGCTGTTTCTTTTTAATGGGGTCAGAGTACAATACCTGCTACCAGTTGTCAATTCCAGGTTTGGGGGGGGTGCCTTGAGCAGGTCCCTCCTCCCGAGAAAGACCCCCCCTCCCCGACTCTCCCTTTGCTTCATCCGTTTGTTTGCCCTCCGCTCACCATGAACCAAAATACACAGCTCCCTCCACCCCACCAAGGCAGCGTGGACACCAAGATAGAGGAACCTGCTTCCTCTCCTCTCAAATTATATTATCAGGAGAGAGAAAAGCAAGTCCTTCTTCACGCAGTGCCGAGTTAAACTGTGGAACTCGCCACCAACCTAGAAGGCTTTAATAAATAGCAATAATTTTTTTTTATTTATACCCCGCCCTTCCCGGTTCAGAAAACTGGGCTCAGGGCAGCTAACAACAAATTTAAAACAATTGATGCAACAAAAAAACCAGCATAAAATACCGTATAAAATGTGAATAACAATCAATTCAGAATTCAAAAATCAATTTAGGGGGGAAATCCATCCAATAAACATTAGATGATCACCAGGGCTAGCTGGCTAAATTAGTCCTATTTGGGCCAGCGAGGAGACCAGGGGAGAATTAGCTGTGGGATCCCAGAGGGGGAATCTTCATAAAAAGGGGAGGGGGGGAAGGAAAGGAAGAAAGGGGCATAAAAGATCAGGCTAAGTTCAAATTGAAAGCCAGGTGGAATAGCTCTGTCTTAAAGGCCCTGTGGAAGCATGTTAAATCCTGCAGGGCCTTAGTCTCATGGGACAGAGCATTCCACCAGGTCGGAGCCATCACTGAGAAGGCCCTGGCCCTGGTGGAGGATAATCTGACTTCCTTAGGGCCCGGGACCTCTAAACTGTGATTATTCATGGACCTTAAGGTCCTCTGTGGGGCAGACCAGGAGAGGCAGTCCTGTAAATACGAGGGCCCTAAGCCACAAGAGGATTGGACAAATTTGTGGAGGGGGCTGTTGAAGGTGGCAGTGGACTCTCCTAGAGGTTTTGATGCAATTTGGAGGGCCACCTGTCATAGAGTCTTTCCCTGTTCCCTATTTTGCGGTGGAGTTGGGCTAGATGAGCCCTGGGGGGAGGGGGACCTTCCAGCTTTAGAGTTCTGTAATTCTGGGATTCTGTGACCAACGGCTATCAGTCACGATAGCTCTGCTGTGTTTCGTGGTCACAGGTAGCAGTGCTTCCAAATACCACTTGCTGGAAGAGAAGAAGGCTCTTGTGCTCCTGTTTTACTTGCTGGCTTCCCACAATGGGCATCTGGTTGGCCCCTGTGATGGGGCCTGATCCAGCAGGGCTCTGCTTTGAAAGGGCAGGTGAGCAGATGAGAAGGAGGAGTGCTGGGAGGTGCACAGAGTCAACAGTGGGCCCCACAGAGGAATGTGGACCTTGGCACATGCCCAGTGATGGATCCTTGCAATGGACACCTGGCCTGCAACAGAGATCTGAGTTTCTAGAAACAAGACAGACCTTGTTCAGGCAGTTGGTGGAGGAGCATGTACAGTGGTACTTCGCAAGACGAATGCCTCGCAAGACGGAAAACTCGCAAGAAGAAAGCGTTTTCCGTTTTTTGAGGTGCTTCGCCAGACGAATTTCCCTATGGGCTTGCTTCGCAAGAAGAAAGCCCATAGGGAAATCTCCGGGGACCTCTTTTAAAATGCTGGCGGTCGGGAGCAAAGACTTTCAGCCACCGCCAGCCTTCAAAAGAGGTCCTGGACCTCTTCTGAAGGCCGGCGGGGGGCAAAAGTCTTTGCTCCCGACCGCCTGCCTTCCCGGCACAGCGGAGACTTCTCCGCTGTCCCAGGCGATTTTAAAATGCTGGTGGGCGGCAGCGAAGCCTTCGCTGCCGCCCGCCAGCATTTTAAAATCGCCCTGGGACAGCGGAGGCTTCGCTGCCGCCCGCCAGCATTTTAAAATTGCCCCGGGACAGCGGAGATGTCTCCGCTGTTCCGGGGGCTTTTAAAATGCTGGCGGTCGGCAGCAAAGCCCTCCTGTCCCCGGAGCTTGCGGGGCGGGAGGTGGGGAGAAGGGCTTTTCTTCCCCACCGCCAGCCTTCAGAACAGCCTTCTGAAGGCTGGCGGTGGGAAGAAAGCCCTTGTCCCCCCCCCCCCAGCCTTCAGAAGAGGTCGGGGGACAGAGTGTCCCCGGACCTGGTCTGAAGGCGGTTTCCATAGGAACGCATTGATTGATTTTCAATGCATTCCTATGGGACACCATGCTTCGCAAGACAAAAAACTCGCAAGAAGAAAAAACTCACGGAACGAATTAATTTCGTCTTGCGATGTACCACTGTATGTGCTGCCCCTGCCCCTGAAAAGAGCTCTGCATTCACTCTTCATCCAACTTTTTTTGGGGGTAGCGGGCACATTTGGAATTCTGAGAAAGTGCCATGGGTGCCAGTCATAAAATGGCTGCTGTGAGGTTCATGGCACAAGAGAAAATGGCCGCCAAATCCAAAGAAGCAAAGGAAAGAGGCAGGACAACAAAACAGTGCAGGTCTTCCCATCCCACGTCCATCCATCTGACCACACACACACGAGGAAAAAAAGGCACCTGCATCAGTTGCCACCACGCTCAATTGCAGAAATAAGCTCTTGTCACTTCTCCTGGAATATATATTTTCCAGGTGAGTCCACTGCCTCAGATATATGTACTTAATCCTCTCCCTGCTGTTTGCGTGCTTCTTTTTCCTCCCTTTTAGTATCTGTTTCCCTTTTTCATATTGTATTGCAGGACTGAACACCTTAATAAAAATGATTGCAAAAATTAAAAAATATAAATTGACGCAGTTCTAGCAGTCGAGCTGCTTGCTTCAGGAGTGCGCTTACTTTCCATGTGCTCTGCTTTTGTACTTGCAAATCGCAATGGACGCGGGTGGCGCTGTGGGTTAAACCTCAGTGCCTAGGACTTGCCGATCGTATGGTCGGCGGTTCGAATCCCCACAGTGGGGTGAGCTCCCGTCTTTCGGTTCCAGCTCCTGCCCACCTAGCAGTTCGAAAGCACTCTTAAGTGCAAGTAGATAAATAGGTACCGCTTTATAGCAGGAAGGTAAGCGGCGTTTCCGTGTGCTGCGCTGGCTCGCCAGCTGCAGCTTCGTCCTGCTGGCCACGTGACCCGGAAGTGTCTTCGGACGGCGCCGGCTCACGGCCTCTAGAGCGAGATGAGCACGCAACCCTAGAGTCGGACACGACTGGCCCGTACGGGCAGGGGTACCTTTACCTTTACCTTTACTAGATGTTGCAAAGGCACCGTAAGTTGCCAGTAATTTCTAACTTCAAGGGAAATACAGCTCTGTAGCCCTGTCGCTAGACCTCCCCATATCTCACGTAGCTCAAGGAAAAGGAGTCACTCACCTCTTTTCGGGGCACCACACTTGTCCAGGGCTCCTTGATGGTCCCCAGCTGCCCCACCAGTTCTGGATCCAGGACAGGAAGGCCATCTGTGGTGGATGATGTCAAAAACAGGTCTGGCCTCTGTGCAATAAGAAATGCAGAACATTACAATATTCATTATTGCATGGATAATGGTTAATATTTTGTATCAATATTACAGTGGTGCCTTGGTTTACAAACTTAATCCGTTCCGGAAGTCCGTTCTTAAACCAAAGCGTTCTTAAACCAAGGCGTGCTTTCCCATAGCAGTGGGGGACTCAGTTTATAAATGGGACACACTCAACAGGAAGCGAAACATGTTCTTATTCCAAGGCTAAGTTCACAAACCAAAACACCTACTTCCAGGTTTGCAGCATTCTTAATCCAAGTTGTTCATAAACTAAGCTGTTCTTAAACCAAGGTACCAGTGTATAGGACTAGTTGCATTTTTTTAAGTACAAAGCCCTGAAACCTGTGTATGGATGAAGATGCTGTTTTGAAAATTGTAAAACTAATCATCAAATCATGACAACCATCAATATCGTTAGCTTTATTCAAAAACATCAGCCACTTCTGTGGAAAAATGTCAAGGCTGGGCTACAGGGTGGTGATGGTCTGCAGGACCGGGAGACAAGGTCAGCGGAGAATCAGGATGTGAGGGAAATTGGGAGGGGGGGAATTCAGTTCAGTTTGCATTTAGAAAGTTAGGGTCTCCGTTCAGTCTCAAAGATTGCAACTGAATTTTCCTAGCTGGACTGCTGGGTTGCCTTACTCTTTGCAAGAAAGGGGTCTGTGCAAGTACATACATGTGTACTAGAATTTCCCAATTCAGGACGTGGACACCTTGTCTGCTTGTTGGGCGACAAGCCAGTGTTTCACCAATTGATGCTTTTCTGCTAACTGTTTAAAG